CTGCCGCTCATTTTCACCTTGCTGGTCGCTAGCATTTCTCATTTTCTCACCGCCGCTAAAAAATTTTCATGTTTTTCAAGATCCAACGAAATTGGCTTTTTTTCTTTCGCTGTTATTAATGTCAATGTAGACATTAAAATTGATTTTAGTGGGAAAAATTAAAGATCCGGGTAGCAATGCAATTTACCGCCGAAACGCGCTATTACTTGAAATGCAAACATTTCACCCCGGCTTACATGAATGGGTGGACGTACGCACGGAAGTACGTACGAACGATTTTCTCAGTAATATATTTTCACCCGGAACATCCGGGCACAAAGCCAAATGAGCTTAAATGCATAAAATATGGGAGAATCGGCCCGAGGCTTTGCGATTCGGTGAACGAGGAGAGAATACGAGGTATGCACTGAGGGCAGGAGGGTGGAGAAAGAACTGCTATCGAGGGTGCTGAGACCTAAGCGTCACTAGAACTGGCTGAATAATCACGCAGGCTGCTCTTCAAACTGAGGGACAAGGTCTGTGAGTATGCCGTGTATTCCCCTGGGCCACGCTGAGAGGTAAGGAAGTGCATTGGTGCTAATTTAGGCTTTTGTGCGTGTTTTCCTAGTGAGAATAGGACCAAAATTTCATGGATGCATGTATAACCAATTATTATTCATTCAAAATATTTCTCCGTTCCTGATTGGCTAACATCTCACGCATGATTTATCAAAACCAGCTACTGGCGACCAAATTTCAAAGAATTTTGCGATATGTGAACTAATGACGTCAATCGTGCAACAAAATTGCCAGATTATTAAACAGTTAACCGAAAAGAACTGGGGTCGAGGATGAGTTGTTTGGTGGTGAATACGAATTAGCGGAACATTTCTCTCCTTTTACGAGGAACAGATAGGCGAACTGTTAGCTAAAAACATGGCGAGAACAGCAAGAATTTAACTCGACGGACGGCATCTGCTATTTGGAGAATATTTGCAGAACTGAACAATCTTTTACCTCCTTAATTGCCGATAAACATGCACTATATCGAAGATGAACTTAACATCGATGAAGGGTAAGCATGTTTTAGCATGTGTTTAAACTGGGAATTATTTTGATTGAATAATTTCAGTAATTATTGAATTTGGCTTTCGTAACATCTGAAGAATTATATTCTTACCCATGGTGTTCTGTTGCCCGCGCGAGAGAGAGCTCCGCTGAAACTCTTTAGAATTTCGTTTGGATCAGTCTGCACGTAATATTGAGCCTTATAACATAACTTTATCGTTACCGCTAATAAACAATATCGAAAAATGATTTATTGCAATAATATATCTCATATGTTGTATCTATAATGTGCAGGTTATACTGAGTATATTATAAGTTCTCGCGCGAGGGGGGCTGGGGTGTGGGCTTAATGGAGGGAACGGGTACGTCTGGGCCCAGTTGTTCGAAGGCTGATTAGCACTTAACCCTGGGTTAAATTTAACCGGGGTTTCTCTTTCTTGTGTTCAAAAGCATTCTCTCGGATAATTTTCTCTGTTATGTTTAGAGCTTTAGCTTTCAATCATCAACTTGTAGACCAAAAGAATTAAAACTGAAATGCTTTTTAAGCTTTCAAATCTGAATTCAAATCTCGCACTAACCCTGGGTTATCTTAACCCAGCTTTGAACAACTCGGTCCTGGGCCCAGTTGTGCGAATGCCGGTTAGCACTAACCCAGGGTTAAATTTTAACCCGGGTTTCTTTTTCTTTTTATCAAAAGCACCCTCTAGGATAATTTTCTCTATTCTTTTTAGAGTATCCAATAATCAAATTGTAGGCAAAGAGAATTTAACTGAATTTTCTTTTTAAGCTCTCATATCTGAGTTCAAATTTCACACTAACCCTGGGTTACCCTCACCCAGCTTCGAACAACCCGGCCCTGGTGATTAAGAATAAAATATTACTTGGTGCCAGAAGGGCAGCAGTGTTTTCCGTCAGCACAGCAAATAGCATCGGGTATCGAACAACAACCATACTTTTCAGTTGGCGTTTTACAGCAAGTCTCGCCTTTCATGCACATGGAGCCATCTATGCATTCAATATGATCTCCTATAACAATACAGGGTAAAGAGAAGAACTGAAAGGCGGCTCAATAAGAGAAAAGTAGTTACATGGACCCAATGCAAAAAATGGCTGCTGTATTTGTATTACTTTGTTTAAATTGAAATTAGCCGGACTAGCCTCGCTTGAGATAAAGTTTTCTTTTGAATTTTGTACTGAAGGACGGGAATGGTTTGGGCAGTTTTTATTTAAACAAAGGAATATTAATCCACAAACCATCTTATTTGCACTGGGTCTTTAAAGGAACGTTAAACTAATGGTAAAAAATCTTTACAAGCATGTAATCCTTACAAGCATTTTCACTGGTTGAACCAAGAGAGAACGGAAGAATTGGGAAGCACTCCCTTTTTTGGGCTAAACGGGTATATGCTGCTGAAGAGGGTGTGGTTTTTCAGGGCTTGGAGTCTTAAACGGTGTGAACAGGGTGCCTTTTTGGACCGAAGGCAGGCGGTAGGTGACCTATGTGTGTGGAACCTAAGTCGAAATAAACTATTTTGTCTGAAACGGGTCAGGGTTGAACATCTTAGGGACAAATTAAAAACCTCTACCCAAATTACCCTTCATTGACCCTCCCCCCAACCCCTCTTTGGGCCAAATCAGTTTATGTATTGTGTTTATACAGTCGAGTGTCAACCCAAACCTTTAGATATGTAATCACTTATTGACTGCCAGACATATTTCCCAAATAATATGTTTCTTTAGCTACGATTTTGTTGAGTGACTTACTTGCGGACTGACTGACCAGCTCCTGGCCAAAACATCCAAAAAGTGCACAAAGCAACAGTGTTACTATACCAACGTACAACTTCATCTGCTCCGGAAACAAATAGTATGTTGCGTCAAAATCCTGTTTTTAAGCACAGTTTAACATAACCAAAAAGAGCCTTAACGCTGCTCAGTCCTGGGGAAGCTTTGGAGCGCACCAACCACCCCCCTCTCCCTCCCACTCCCCGCACACAACCCCCCCCCCACCCTCCCCCACACCCTCCGTCACTTCGCCCGCACGCATCGCGTCNGCAAGAGATCGCTAGAGAAATGTAAAGAAAAGGACATCGATGGTAGGATATGCAGTAAATAAATTTGTTAAAATGGTTACTAAAATGGTCACGGATTCTGTCTTCAGGGGCACCCAACGACAATTTTCGGAAGAATATCTGTTCGGAAGACGATTTGAGATCTAGAATTTTCGAAACATTGGTTGTAAAATTTCTTGCTTGCCTGCTTCTCCTAGGATTTTCGAACATCCAAACAATGGTGTATTTGCCTATTTTTAACGGATTTTTACCCTAAAAAGGTCACCTAGAATTTTCGGAAACCTTTTTTCTGGCTGAAATTTTCGAAAAGGTAAGTTTTGATCCCTATAATTTTCGAATCACTAGACTTTCAGCTAGGAAATCCGAACAGATGAAAAATTTTTAGGGGATAAAAATATGCCTATATCTACCGTTTAAATACTAAAATACGTTTAACAATGCTATGTTTAAGTGGTTTTGAACTATATTCTCGTTGGGTGCCCCTGTGTCTTGTGCAAAATAATTGTTAACCTCAGTTCTGAGACTCACGAACAGTAGTTAATTCATTGCCGACCTATTCACTCGATTGTAGGAAACTGAGCAAGCGATAGTCACGTGTAAGCTTTACTGTCATTCTCTAACTGCAAACATTTCGCTCATCCAGTTAAATTTGAGTGTAAAAAAACTTAAACACCGACGGCCAACCGATAACTTAAAAGGTAGTAGATCATGATAGACCCATCGACGATAAATAGATAATTCGATAAACAAATAAAATTATTTCGAAGAAAACTAATTGCAAACTTCTGTTTTCTTATAACAAAAACCACCACAGAGTGTCAAATTGAATACCTTGTTTTTCCTGTTCAGTCCTATCTTTCTTTTGCTCGCAAGTACGTTGTGACTTAGATATAAATAATTTCTTTTTCCTACGGGATCAATATGAAGCCTCGTGCTCTGAGGATGACAGTCAGCTGAGCCACAAAACGTGCTAGACGTTTTAGGGCAAATCAAGGCGAAGTTAGTATTCCCTTACAGTGATCATGCTATATGCAGGGAGAACACTAACATGATTCCGTGATCTTTCAAGGTCAGTATGACATAAGCTTATAAGACGAGAGATGAGAGAGTAAAATAAAACCAGTGTCTTACAAAAATATTGTTCACTGAAGTATTTAGACTTAAGAAATACGTGAGGTGAGACTAAACGGACATTCATATGCAGCATGTGATGCCATGAATTTACGGTCAGACATTTTTCTCATCACGTGGCGCTTTGTCCTTAAGCCTTGGAAATATTGTGACTGTGGTGCCCTTTCATTTTCTAGTTGTATATTCATTTTCACGAGTGCGTTCACTATAATGGGATCGAATTTTCAATAGCGTTACTAGAATGGGGTCGCACATTTTTGGATTTTAATTATTTTGGGGTAAGAAAGTTCTTCATATTTACAGTGAGCAAACGTACAGTCTAACCTCTCCTTACGGATACCTCTATAATACAGACACCTCTCTATTACGGACAGTTCGTTTGGTCCCAGAAATGCCAAAAATCATACATTCCCTACCTCAAAAATACGGACACCTCTACGGTAAAGCGGGCTCTTGGTTTTGTCCCTTTGATGTCCGTATAAAAAGGTTTGACTGTACCAGAATATTTGTCCTGTAGGTGAAAAGTAAAGTGTTCTTCATTCAATTTATTAAAAAATGGGTCAATTCATTTAGGATGACCTATTTAAAGGAATGTTAATAATTAGCAATTCCATATGCAAAACTCTCCAATAAATTATGTACGAAAATAAGTTGAGTATTAACTTACAAAATATGGCTCGGCAAACACTTACATATTTAGATCTCGTTCTTCGCAGAGGCTGCGTTAACTAGCTTATAGTCGCTTGCAAAATGGCATCAGAATACGCAGATTACATCTTCTACGGTGGAAGTATTATCACCATGGAAGAAGGGAAGCCGTCAGTGGAGGCTTTGGCTGTTAAAGGAACAATTATTTTAGCAGTTGGAAAGCGTGACGAAGTGTTCGCTTTAGCTGGGCCATCAACAGAGTTCGTGCATCTAAACGATCGGCAGACCCTTCTACCTGGTTTCATTGAGCCTCATAGTCATGCTGTATTGATGGCGTCGTTAAAAACGGTAAGAAAGCCAAAGGCTTAAATATAACTTACTATTAAACAGAGAGCTTTTATTTACATGTATTCCACAAGTCATGATAACGGGTCATTAATGTTTTGCTAATTGGCCGGTAAAAGCCAAACAGTTTCCCATTGATAAAGGAAAAAACAAACAAACAGAAGACACAACTTGTTAAGGCCGATACACACGAGGGCTGTTGCTCCCGGAGCATGCTCAAGGCTCATTTTCCACCGGTCAGTACACAAGAGAGAGCGTTTTCAAGTTCGCTCAATTTCCCCCGGATCTTTCTCCCAAATATTTAACCGGTTAAATATCGTGGAGCATTTTGCGGGGTGGAAATTCTGCTCCCGAGGATGAAGTTTATCCTTGAAATTGTTTGTACACACGGAGGAGCTTTGTCCGGGAGCGTGCCCCTGGAACATGCTCCGGGCAAAGCTATCACGCGCATAAAAAGATGATTATTTTGATCTTTTGATTTTTGTTTTCTAAACAGCTTAGAACACTTAATGAATTACTAGTGGAAAATTCTCTTCTTCTAAAATTTCAGTATTAGAGAGTTTTTCTTAAAGGGGCTGTGTCACGGCAGCCCAGTTCATTTTGTTTAATTTTGTCAATTACTCGCCCTACGTTCGCCCTTAATCGCTATGGAACTTAAAGTAAGCAAAGAAATTACATGTAAATGACAAAATCAGTGATCCGAGACGAACAAATATGTCTCCTGAGCATTATTTTTGAAGTTGCTAGTAGCAGGAAGCAACTTTGAAAAACTGTTAGGCTGAACAGTTTTCGAAAACCCTAATTTTAAGGGTGTTCCGAAAACTAAGACCCTCCCTGGTTTTTTATCCATAAAAATCGTAAAATTTGCTTTCCACGTGCTGGATATGGATTTTTGCCTTCGTGTCTCCGCGACAATGATTGCGTTACCTAAAAATCACCCAAGGAGCGTTTTGTTTTGATTGCTTGTCAAGAGCCCATTATGGCTCTTGTTGTTTGTCTATTTCATTTTTTTCTGAAACTAAAACGCAAAATTTTCGAGATGATGCATTGATGGTACTGGAAATTTGTTCATTCATTCATTTTATATTTAATAAGTGATTTTAGCCAGTATCGCTCACAGACTATTTCCCCTTGCCCCTATCCTACCCCTCAACTACCCTTAGATTGTAACTTTTCAACTGGTTTCCGGTGATCTCCGGGGTGGCAACGTTTAAAAAAAAAAAAGACTCATGAAAAACGTAATATAGCATACACTCTTTTGATACCAATTTTTAAGAAAGCATTTTTTTGGCTATGGCCTCGCCTGGCCAGAAAAGGAAAAAAACCCGTATTTTTGTGTGATGTTTAACCAATAACGCCGTTGACCACTTGACGATCGGAATATATTCAGCCGGCAACGAAGGCAAAAATCCATCTCCAGTGGAAAGCCAATTTTACGATTTTTTAAGCAAAACAGCTAAAATTATAGACCAATCGGCGGGGTAGGGCATATTTTCAGTGTACAGTTATACACAGGTAATTGCTTTCATCCTCTTTTTTCTGCAAATTAAGAAGAAGCCGCGGTTTGTCAGCACGCGGATGATAGTTTTTGGTTGTTTTACGGATTATAGTCTTTCAACGGTCGTTATTCCACTTCATAGGGGGTCTTAGTTTTCGTAAAAACGAAAACTAAGAGGGGTCTTTGTTTTCGAAATTACGAAAACTAAGACCCCTAAATTTACCGTTAAGTTTGACCAAAAACTCGGTGGAAAGAATCGGACAGAAAATAATTTGGCAGATTAGACCTATTTTGGTTACAATTTGACTTCATATTCCAACAGATTCGATTTTAGGAGGTCTTAGTTTTCGTAATCTCGAAAACTAAGACGGGTCTTAGGTCTTAGTTTTCGAGGGTCTTAGTTTTCGGAACACCCAAATTTTGATCCGTTTCAATATTCTTCAGATTTGCCCATCCGTGGCATCTGTTGTTTCTGTTATGTTATTTTAACCTTAATTCCTTTAAAGTTTTAAGCGGTTATTTTTATGTTTCTCTTAATTTAACGGGCATTTTGTAATTTCCTAATTTGGCTGAATTTCGTGACACAGCTCCTTTAAGAAACCGACTGATCGTTTCCATAGTAAAATGTAATGGCCTCCGATCGGGTAGTCGACTACACGGCCGTTTTTAGTGTCGCACGCAACGCTCCTCCCCTCAAAATGCTTCGTTTAAAGTGGAGGTACACTTAGCTCTTCTAGTTGTAGTTTTGTTCACTACACATTGCACTTCACCTGCCTTGTCCCCAGTCGCTCGTGATGACGTTTTTGGGGGATATTTGAGTTAATTATTAAGAAAAGAGGGGACGAAAGGAGTGATGGGAAGCGAACTGCGTTCGTTCCCACCATACCCCTCTAGCACTTCTCGCTTGTCTCCAGGTCTCGCACTTCTAGCCGGTTACGTGCTCCCAGCCAAGCCTTAGGAAGGCCTGTGGAGGAGGCAAGCACTCTATTCCACTAGACAAACAAATAATACAAAACAATATAACATGAAATTGCATGACCGAAAAACTGAACACTTCTAGGCGATCACCACTAACGGTCATTCATCAGCTATTGCCGAACTTCAACTTCAACTGGTCGCAATTTGAAATGGGACCATTTTGACATTTTAGCAACAAAAAAATAAGATACCCATTGTAGAATTAAGGAGACTCTTCTTATTAGGGAATTAAGACCAGCCCTAAATGAAAATATAAGCAGCGAAAAGCTTTACTTATACTAGTTTGCATAATTTCATGCAAATTTTCTCATCTGTCACATTTATTTGTCTTTTCCTTCCCGTTAATTAGTTCCTTATCTTCCTTTTTTATTATTTAGTTAGTTATTTAAATTTAGTTACTATACTCATGTTAACGGTCACTTCTAAAAGATGTATGTTGAAGCATACAAAACGTCAATTTCGATATTATAAAAAGTCAGTTATACAATGCGTTTGTTATTTCTGATGTTTGTAAGCGCAGTTTGTGTGTTATTCCTTTTAAAACTGAGATTGCCAAAAACCAAAAGCATTTATTACATAACAATAACAGGAATGGCAGGGGAAACCAGTTATTCTCTCTTGTCAAAAGCATGACCGTGGGTTTGAGCTTGGGACGACCAACAGAAACATTCGAACCCGGGAGCATCAGATTGCGCTTTCCGCCAGGCTGCCTCCTAATTTATGTAATTATATTAGTTGTATTCTTTAATAATTTCATAAGTAAGCCACCCATGACCACAGGGACATATCGTTACGTAGCTCGCCTGACAGTTTTTTGTATTTACTTGAAGCTACTTGACTTCGTTAGCGGTATTTCTCTGGCCTCTTCCGGCCCACGGAACGAAAGAAAACCCTGGGAATAAAGTTTCTTTTTAAACGAGAACAACCTTTAGCTTCTAGGGGTGATGAATGGTCCATTAAAATTTTTAACTGCTCGCAAAATTTTACCTTTGCTCGATTTGCTCGCAAAATTTAAACGAGTGCTCACTTGCTCGTGCTTCCCCAATTTTTGCGTTGCTCGCAAGCTCGCAAAGCAAATTTTTTATTTCTGCTCGTTCTTGCAAAAAAATCGCAGTGCTCGGCATGCTCGCAAAGACCAATTGTCACCCCTGCTTCTGGCGTCGCAGTGGTAAAATAACTAACCCCCCAAAAATGTCTTTAACTTTTTCTTTTGACTTTTCCTTCATAAGGAAACAAGCTATCTTCAATCCCGCCTTGTTTCTAATCTTGCAGAGGATTAACGGTGTTGAGAGGTTTGTAAAGATCGACGGGTACGACCATCATTCTTATGCGGAGATCAAATGGCTAATGGAGAATAAGATCGCTTCACTCGACCCAACCGCCAAGCCTCTACCCTGGGCCCTGTTCTTCGGTTGGGATTCCGAGTTAATTCCAGACTTGCCATTCCTTTCGAAGGACGTCTTAAATGATTTTTCAACTGAAATTCCTACTGGTGTGATTGGACAGAGCGGTCACGTAGCCTGGGTGAATCAAAAGGCTTTTGAGGTGGGTTTTTAATTAATGTATTACAGGTACTCAGTTAAAAAAAAAATTATCTCATTTATTACTTAATAATGTTTTTACTGGCAATTAGAGTTACAAATATACTTACGGAAAACGAAAATGCATTCGTGTAAACTTCGCCCGCTCACCATCGAATTATTCACCGCTTTGAGACAAAAATTTGACCGAGTATATTTTATGTGACAATTTTTAAGCCATTAATTAAAGCACTTTTTTGTCTGTACCTTAATATACTTGTACCAACGAAGACTCAGAATCGTCATACAAGCGAGGGGAGTCGAGTCTTGACAAGTCTCCTCGCTCGTGTATTTCTCTAGCCTGTGCCAGGCTCTCAGATAGTATAGTGCGGACGTATTAAAACGAGCAAAGCGAAAATAAGACGCCCGCGACTTGGAAAAGGGGGCGGTGGCGTTTTTCGCATTTCTTTTTACTGAACGACTTTTCACTACTATCTCGGAGCCTGGAATAGGCTAGTATTTCTCTATACCTCGGCGGGAAGAAATAGATAATCCACAATGGTTTGCTTGGTCTTTATTCACTGTAAGGTTTGTTTCAGATCGCAGATTCCCCAGACCTGATACTTTACCTTCCTCGCAACAGTATTTATCATAACTAAAGCATTGATCTTTGAGTCTAACAAATAAAGAATAGAACCTGTTGTTGTTGACAGCGACTGACCTTTCGACAACCTGTGCGGTAGTCATCTTCATAGCCAACTCCCAAGAGAAACTGAAGACACTGCTTATGCAAAATTTTAGAGTGACAAACAAAGAGCATTATTGTATGTTATGGTATTTCTGGAGTGGTCAATTCCCTTTGATGGGGTAATTTTGAAGATATACAGGCTGAAAAATATATAAGCGTGAGGATTTGTTTCCTCGGGACTCCGAACACCACAGTCTTTATAGACAACGAGGTTTTGTAGTTTATTTGAACGAATAAGCATTGATCGGTGAAATGAATCCTCCCTGAAATCAGGAATTCTTTGAGAAGCCAAACAAAGCCTGGTTGTCATTAACCCTTTAACTCCCAATAGTGACCAACATCAATTTTCTCCTGACAATATCCATACGTTGTCAAGAGATAAGATTATGAGAATTAATAAAACGATCACCAAAGAGAAAATCCTTGATCTTTTATAAAATTACCTAGTCAACTAATTCTTAAAAGATTTGCATAGCGATCAATTAAGAGAATTTATATTGTAGATATTAGGGCTTAAAGGGTTAAAGCCGGCTTAGAATGATACGTAAAAACTATTTCTTTCGCCTGAAGTATTTTTTACTTACCAAGTTAAAAACGCAGATGACGAGACATTCGTCTCTTCAGTGCTTGCATGCGTTTTCCGTAAAATGTCTTTTAAGGCCGTTGTACTTTGTAGTCGTGCAGGGACGGCAGAGAAATATAAGAGAAAAGTGTGATGCACGTACGGTACAGAGCTATTTTTTTGCTCAATTAACCTATTCCTTTGTTTGAAGTTCTCGTATACCTTCCGAGAAAATTTGTGTCCAAACTAAACCCAGCATTTTAAGTATTAGAGCGATTTTTCCTATGACCTTGAAAAACTGTTTCGGTAAGTGTTCGTTATTTGTTTTATCAGCCAGTGGATGGAAAGATCAAAGCATGGACTCTTCGTTTTCCCGCCAAAGAGAAACCCAATATGGAGGAAGCATTGTTCGATTGGCCAATCGTTTTGCAGTATGACGTCAAAGCGAAGTATCGGTTGATTTCTAGAAAATTCTCAGGCATATAATTATGAAGTTTTTTCACCGAGCGTTCGCTTAACCAACCAAAAGCCACGCGCGTTTGTATCCGTTCGATAAACCAATCAAATCGCTCAATTTCCGTTTGTTTGTTGTTTCTGTTTTCAGGGTTCGCGCGTTTTTAAAGTCATACGAAAATCGCTCTATTGTGGCCCTCAAATATTTTTTTTGCCTCTTCCAGATTGCCGGAGTGGACGACAGTACTGAAGATCCTTCAGGGTTTGTAAAAGATGAAAACGGTCATTTGACTGGGCAATTATTTGAGGTCCCTGCAATGAAGAAAATCCTCGGATCCTCACCACAACCAAAAGCTGATGAAATGAAGATGGCAATCGAGGAACAATGGAGAGATTACGCATCCCGTGGCTTTACCACAGTCACAGATCTTCTGTTTTGCATGAAAAGCGACGATACCGAAGACACTAATGTTGCACTTAATATTTTAAAGAGCGTATCAGAGAGTCAATTTTGCCCAGTACGATTAGCATTATATCGTGCATTAGATGCCTCAGGTATGTCGGCAAAACTGCACCCTTGTGTTGTTTTCGTATGGTGGTTTTTTGACGTTATCGCCAGATGCGTGTGACCGTCTCGTCTTCATCAAACTCTTAAGGTCAAGTAATACGGGAAACATTTAGCTCTCACTAAACACATTTTTGACCAATCACAACGCAGGATTTTCTGTGCTTGCAAGGGGTAATAGATGCAACAATGCTTTTCAACTTGCAATGCAAAACTATTGCTACATTTCACGTTTTTGTTATCCATTTTACTGCAGTTTTATGAGAAGAATAAACTCTCTCTTAACATTTGGGATTACATCCACTGTAGCTCCTTCGTAAAAAAATCAGAAGAAAACAGTTATCCAGAGTAAATCCATACTTCAAAAAGTACTTCTGCGATTCAGGGCTTCACCCATCACCAGTCTCAGAAAAAAGGCAGAATCAAGAGAACCAGGGATCATGAGGGCTGGTACACGCAGACTGCCTCTCTAAGTTGGTCAATTACCTGCTAGTGTTCCACAAGGGTCGACCGTGGCTCTTCCACGTGATGTTCAGGGAGAATTAGGAGAGACGTCACCCTTCACATATATTTCCCTCTGGGTGAGGTTCAAAAGACGAGTCAGAGTTCAGATAACTCTGGACAATACAACACAACCCGCAATTTAAAACGCAAAAGGACAGTGTTCTTCTTAAACAACAGCGCATTTCAGTCTGTTTAAGATGGTATATAATATTTGAAACCTTATTGGCTTATTATAAGTTTTGAGCAAACAAGGAAATTGTCACCATGACTCTCGGACTTTTTTTTATCTTTATTTTAAAGACCTCTTAACTGCCGGCGGGAAGATACAGCCAACGTTCACGCCAAATGATAATCTTTGGATAGCTGGAGTAAAGGTCATTAGTGATGGCTCACCCCACTGTGGTACAGCTGCGATAAAAGACCCATACCTAGAGTCCAATCTCACCAAGATCCTCGGATTCCCACCCACACCAAATTATGGTAAAATGAACTACTCAGACAATAAACTAAAGGAAATGGTCAGTTTTTTTCACCAGCAAGGAACCCAGATTGCTGTACACGCTCACGGGGAGCGTGCTATTGATCAAGTGATCGAGGCGTATGATAAGGTAAGAGGTCTGTCTGCAATCGAAGGTACGTTATAACAACCACTGAGCTACTGAATACTCGAGTCTAAAGGAGGGGAAATCTTACGAACTGGGTCTGAAATGGAGTACAAAAAATACGGGTCTTGGCATTGTTAGATTTGTATACATAATTTTGCCTCTCAGAACTACCGTTTAAGTCTAAGATAGGAAATTCTATATTTTGTTACGAAATAGGGTCGGGCAAGTCACATATTTTGGTTTCAAACACGGCAAGGGTCTCCGGAGACCCAACTAACTCCCTTACCTCCGGATGTAAGATGAGAGATTCAATTTGTTCCAAGCAATTGAATTGCATTGTCCACCATCTGCACAATTTTAATTGCGTATTAAAATACGTATTAAAATACGTGGCAACGACTGTTATGTATATGGCTCCTGGTGACGACCGTGCCAGGTAAAGAGAGAAAAGAGAGCGGAAATTCTGAGGTTTTTCGCTCCATTGAAAATTAAATCTTTGCATGTTTTAGGGAAAGTTGATTCTTCTCGACATTCAGTTAGCCTCTCCCATCGCCAACAAAGTTGACTTTGCACTCATATGTGATGATTTTAAAATTGAAGTTATTTTCCTATTAAAACAGGTTTTAGACAAGAGTTGTAAAGATCCTAATCCATTACGCCACCGAATTGAACACCTGGGATTATGTACAGTGGAGCAAATTGAGCAGGCCGCGAAGCTTAACCTGGCCTTGTCTTTCTTTGTGGCCCACCTATACTTTTACGGAAAAACATACACTGAACACATCTTTGGACCAGAGCGCACAAACCGCTGGACACCCCTCTCGGCGGCAACCAAGGCTGACCTTCGTTGGAGTATTCACCAGGATCACGCGACCTTTCCAGGCCCCCCGCTTCCCTTTGCGAATATCAAGACGGCGGTGACTCGCACACAACGAGATGAAAAAGAGAAGGTGTACGGATCAGAATACTGCGTTACAATTCACGAGGCAATGAAGGCAGTAACCATTGACGCGGCCTGGCAGCTTCACAAAGATGACTGTTTGGGCAGCTTAAGAGAAGGCAAAAAGGCTGATTTAGTCATTGTCTCAGATAATCCCTACAAGGTAATAACAATTAAGAAATATAAAATGTTTATCACGTCACGTCCATGAAGTAATGAAAGAAAATATGAGACGGACGAGAGTCACGTTAATAGAGAGATTTAGAGTGACGTTTACGGCAAACAGCAAACGTCAGATTCAAGTTAATAATTTCTCAAAATAGAAAACGTGCAGCTTAAAACAGTGGAAACCGTCTCGGACAACAAATGGGAAATTTGGAATTTGATATTAGGGTTTAAAGGGTTTTTATACTCTGTTTTTTGTCAAAAGGTGGATCCGTTAACGTTGGAAGATATCGAGATCCTCGACACATACATGAATGGCCGACGAACAAACCTCACCAAAAAGGTTACCCCGCACAAGAAACTTGGATGAATAAGTATACTCAAAAACAATTTTAATCATCACAAAAATATAATCGTACACGATAATGTTAAGTACTACTCGACCGTATTGAACAGTTCATTTGTGCAAGTGTATATTTTGGGACCTGATTTGTTGATTAGTACATCGAGCCGAATGTGTTAACAAATGAATTTAGCTGACCAGGGAGAAATTTTTGCAAAGATTTATTGTTAAACGGCTGTTTTGCCAGTCTCACTTTTAACCATATGTTTGTATGTAACAAATTTATGGCATTTCAGCTGGTAGTGGTCGTAGTGGTCAACAAGTGTCCAGTGGAACGGTACATTCAGGTTGCACAGACCCGATCCAACCCACCGAGCGTTTTCTTGGTTATTGTACTTTAAGCAGGATACAGAAGAGCAGTACTGGAGACAACAATTTTGTCAAATGGGAAGGGTACGAAATGAAAGGATCGGTCAAAAAGGACCATTTACAAAGATGGTCCCAAATATTGCAGTCGGACCGAACCGAAAGGGTCCGTTCCATTAAATTTTTGACCGAACTTTCCAGAACTTTAGGCTGGATGAAAGCGCCCAAGGGTTCTTTTTACTTGGGCGGAGCTCCAACCTAAGTTTTGGCGATCGCCTTGCCGCACGTTGGGGGTGGGGCGAAGAGATGGATGACATTTCAGACTAAAAAACCTGGCATATTTTCCGCGGGGTAATTAGATTAAGTCGAAATCTCCTATTAAGTGCAGGTTGCGTGACGGTACAGTTCATGCAGACTTGCTTACATTGACCCCAACATCTAAATTTTGGCCTATTTAGTTTTGTAGCCCTTGCCTTCGGTAAAAGCCCTTGTCATGACTAAATAGAATCACAGGTGAAAGCCTCTTGAATTGAATTACAGTGATGCAACATCTCCAACTATGTAACTGTAACATTTCTATTCCGTGAGCTCTTGATATGGGGAATATCGAGAGACGTAAAATTAAAACGAGGGTAAGTACAAGATCTCGATGTGAAAATAGTTTTGTCCATTTTCATTCGACCGAATGCTCATTAACTGGGCTGCCTCAGGGCGGGCCCAGTTTATGGAATCAGTACATCAGTTCTCCCAAGGGGGTACTTCGGATTTCAAGTTACGGTGGCGATCGAAGGATTTTTTTGGGGCTTGAGATTTGCGTTTCCGGGATTTTTTGGGGCAGGAAATTTTGGCAAGTATTTTTGGGGGTGGCCTGATTTGAAAAGGAATGTTTTGGAGGTATTCAAAACAATCGAAAGATTCGTAGTGCTGCCAGCGTATCCCGGTCTTATAGTTCTTCGAATAAAGTGCAATCAAACTTGGTCTTAAAAACTTGATTTTTCGTGTTATATCATTAAATGCTTTCTGGAAATTTTCAAGGCTCGGAAATTCGGTTCGGCATGGGTTTTTTTGTGGGTGAATTTTAGGTCCAGGTATTTTTTAGAGTTTTGATTTTTGCCCCTATTCAGGATGTCCAGCGGCATGGTTGCTCAAACAAATAGGAAAATGGGAAACTCAAGATTAAGAAAATAGGAAAAATACTGGAAAATAGGAAACTTTGTATTAAAAAACAGGAGAAAAATAGGAAAATCAATAGTACTTTCGTCGGCAAAGATAGCCTCCCTGCACCCCATCAGGGTTACAATAAAGGCTACGAGTCCTCAGCTTCCACGTTCGCAGGATTTAGATCAACTTTCGCGGCTTGGAAGGAGTGAAAATGATCAATAACGTTTAGTTTATTGGCTCACTTACACTGTAATCAGAATTATATATGCTTGACTACAGGTCGAGCGTGGTTCTATAATCAAAGGTGATCATTTGAAAATTCCCTTCAAGTTGGCGGCAAACCTTTGAAAGCTTTGAAGAGTGAAATTTCTTAAGATAGAAATTTCTTACGATTGCGTTGACATTGAAGGATATCGAACTAGGACTAAAAAGTCCTATGGAAAGCTTTCCTTCCATTAATCTGCAATCGTTAGCTGGTTGAGAATATGCTTGTTCGAGTCAAAACTCCATCATAGTTTTAAGTACGGAACCAGGCTTTCCGCGGTGTATGCAAAATGACACTGATCTATTTGGTACCAGATTGTAAATGTGTCATTGTTAAGTTCTAAGAAGAACGTAACACTCTGCTTAGCTATGAGTGCAAGACAGAAAGATGAACGTAAAAGCGAACAGGACCTCAAAATAAAATAAAACATGTACCGATACTGTGTAATGCAGTTTCAGTGGGTTATGCACAATATTATTCAATAGTCATGAGAACTATTACACTACATACAATACATATAGGTGCACGTTCATCTTTGAAACTGAAAATAGGATCAAGTTGTCCTCTCACAACACAGGTCAGATAAATCATCCAATCAGCTTCTTGTTTAAAAAAACAATCACTAGCTTGATTCTGGATGATACGTGAAAAGAACAGGCTCAAGTTTAGTTTACGGCACTAGCTCTTTTGTTGAGCCCTTGTTAACAACTTTACCAAAGCAACTGACGAAGGATCCAATATTTTGGTTGCGAAACTGGTCTTGCAGTCAGAGCTAAACAGAGAGTTACGTTCTTCTAAGAACTTAACCATGACACACAATCTGGTACCAAATAGATAGGTGTCATTTTGCATACACCCAAAAAGCCTGGTTCCATACTTAAAACTATATTCTACGATAAATCTCACTCTACAGACACATACAACTAAAAATTCCATTTTCAATTTTGTTACAAATTTTGGCTTTACCGGCTAAAAAATAGGAAAAATAGGAGGTTTTAGTTTAAAACAGGAGTAAATAGGAATAGACTCAAAAAATAGCCATTCATAAATTTACGGTCACAGATTTCCTAAGATTCTATGTCACTCAATGGTCGGCGACAAGGTTTTATTTTTTATTTTATATAGCCAGTGCCCCACCCCTTAGAAAAAAATTCTTCATGTTAGCCCACATTCGCCTTTCGGCGAGGCTAAAATGAAAGGTTTAGCCTTTTTGACCCTCGTTTTGAACATAGGGGTTTTTTTTACTTTACAATGGCCTACAGGACCTTGGTCAAAACGAACATTCTCGAAGCATCTCGCGTGACGGGGCAAGAAGAATTGCACCATAGTTGCGTCACTTTATAAACTGGGTCTGTACTCTATTTTCCCATCTGTTTGTAAGGTTTTTGCTCTTCCTGAGGGTTAAAAACGAAAAAATCGGTGGCGAATTTAAAACGTGGCCAGCCGTTTTATTATTTTGTTTCACAAAAATCATTTGACACAGCATTAGCCCGCAACTTTTCAAGCGTTTACGAACACGAGGATTCGAAGGGAGAGGAACTTGGGAACAAGGTTCAAGTTTTGCTGTATATTGGTATCATCACACTCACGTGTGTGTGTGTGTGTGTGTAGGAGCAGAATGGCGCATTCAGAACGTGTTTATCCCGTAGGACTCTTTCGTGTGGCTTTGGTAGTCATTACTTCTGCACTGTTTACAGGTAAATTAATATTTCATTCTTACCAGCGTTGTTCAAGCGACCTGTTGAATCGGTAACCGGTCAAGTCGCCCGAAAGTCATCTCGCCCGAAGTCATATCGCCCGAAACCAGAGTTATGTCGCCCGAAATAAATAGTCATGTCGCCCGAAATACATAGTCATGTCGCCCGCAATTTTTATCGATTGTATAAACTTAAAGAAAAGTAAAAACTTAAGTAAATCGCAAGGAATAAACTCGTAAAATGTTCACTCGCTAACCTATTCAAATACTCCAACATCGCTGTTCATTACAGTGTTGTTCGTTGTTCGTTGCTATGAACTAAGCCGCTCATTCTACAGTAAAGACTAAGGTGCTCATTCTGCACTAAAGATTCTTGTAATTATGTCGCCCGCAATTTTATCGAGTGTATAAACTTGAAGAAAAGTAACATCTTAAGTAAATCGCAAGGAATAAACTCGTAAAATGTTCACTCGCTAACCTATGCAAATATGAAGTTAAACAAAGACTCCAACATCGCTGTTCATTTCAGCGTTGTTCGTTGTTCGTTGCTATTAACTATTAAAGCCGTTCATACTACAGTAAAGATTCCAGTAATTATAAGCAGAACTGAATTTTTCACACATATCAGAAAGATACATTCAAGTTCTCTTAGTTTGATTTCTCGTATAAAAAACAACCTGAAACTTTTACAGCGGTTTTTGTTGTATATTGTTAACCACGCGAACAAAGCGTGTTAGCATCATTCCCCTTAGGATCAGACGCGGCATAAATTATCGCGACTTGTTTAGTTGTTCCTTGTTTCCTCAGGCGGTCGCACGTAAATTTTGATCCGGTTAACCATATATAAAGAGGGTAAATTAATAATAGCAACCTCATTCCGAGATAATCAGCTAGCTGAAACACGAGATCGTTACGCGTACGCAAAAGAATTATACAATGAGCCTTTATCCCTGTATCGAGTGCGGAAATGAAGTTCGACCACGCCAGCAAGCCCTCCAGTGCGACGATTGCGGCTTTTGGCAGCATCGTATCTGCGGGACTGGTATCGACCAAGCCACCTACCGTTTGGCAGTAATCAGAGGAAGAATGGATTGGTTGTGTGTTGCATGTTCTCTTGCAGCATCGAACCCAAGTGACGGGGTCCCCGCTGCTGAGAGCACGAGAACCGACTTCGCCCAAGGTAAGGAAATTTTAAGTCCACTGTTTGTCCCTGAAATAATTTTATTCTGAAACGAGAACTTAACCTTTCTAGGCCAAGTCTTATCTTGAACGTTTCTTTCCTTAACGAGCTTACGATAAAAATACGGTTATATTTTTGCTTTGCAGATCTTTCTCCAGAGTATCCGCCTCCTATTGACACCAGCCAGTCCATAAATAATTTCTCTGGTGAGTAAAAAATAGTATAACCTTAAACTTTCCTTTCCTTAGTAGTAACTGAACTCAACCAGTATAAGAAGCTAACTTTACAACTTACCTCCTCCATTGGTGCTTCCGCCATCAGTAACACAGTCGTAGAATGATCGACCGTAAGAACCTTAA